AGCCCATGTCCTTCCTCAAGTGATCGGATTTATGACCTCCTTCTAGGCTTTACTATCGACGCCACTTCTCTTGGAACCGGCCCCATCTCTCACCACACACTTCTCTCGTTGTACAAGTGTATTACAAAGTGATCTCACAATTTAAGCACAAATACTAATAATTTGTTCTCTATAATAGATGAGAACACAATGAAGCCCAACTCAATGTTACAATCTCTCACAACCCAAATATCCTATGTATGAAAATACTAAAAGCTCAAGTGGGTATGTGTAACAAAGAGAACAAATCAAACAAAACTAAACTCAAATATGAAATCTAGCTTAATAACAATGATAATCAAATAAGTATATAAATGTAAAGCTAAACTCAAATATGAAATCTAGCTTAATAACAATGATAATCAAATAAGTATATAAATGTAAAGCTAGAGTTTGAGTTTAGAAAACTTCTTAGCTTAATAACAATGATAATCAAATAAGTATATAAATGTAAAGCTAGAGTTTGAGTTTAGAAAACTTCTCTAATGAATAAACAAGAGAGAGAGAGAGATGAGATGAAGCTCAAACACCAAAGGATGATCTCTTCTAGCTCTTATGAAAAATTCTTCACAAACCAAACAAACACAAAAACAAACTTAAACAAATCTTAAACTCTTGTAAACATGTTTTAAACTTTTCTTTTTGGTAGTTGAAAATAGTTATGACAAAGGGGTATATATAGGATGAAAACCAAAGCTCAAAAATCAAGAAAATCCAACAAAAAAACAAAAAACAGAAAGCTGGAAAACTAGCCGTTACAAGCGTCAGTCGACTGATACTATTCATCAATAGACTGATGAGCTGTCCGTTATAGGCAACTCACAGCTCATCGATCAACTGAAGAGCTCATCAGTCGACTGATGACCTCATCAGTCGACTGATAGTTTATCAGTCACAAAAACAAAAAAATTTAGGAATTCCAAGCGAGTTTATCAGTCGACTAATAAAATTCATCAGTTGACTGATAACAAGTTATTAGCCTAAAGTGAACAATAAAACTGAACTTTAAGCCCCTTTTAAAAATAGCAAATAAATTCTAAAAAATATAAAACTTTGAGAAATGCTTGTAAACATGAAAATAAATATGTTACAGAAAGAATTTTTGGAATTACACTTCCCAAATGAGAAATCTCTTCATTTTGTAAAATAGTCCAAAATATGAAAATGTCAAAACACTTGTTTTTGACATTTTGACTTAAACAATATTTTGAAACTTTATGAAATGTTTTTATAGACTTGATAAAAGATATATATAAAGATTGTTAAGTCCATAAATAAGAATACACAATTTTCATAAAAGTGTATATACCTTAAAATATTATCTTAAACACATTTATTTTTCCAAATGCAAAATTGATAAATTGGAAACTAGAATATACCGATATGTATATAACTATTAGTTTCATATTTATAAACTTGAAAATAAAAAACATGAATATATGTTTATATGAGCTTTAAGTACCAACACACAAAGTATAAACCTAAACTAATATACCCAAGCTATGAGATCTTCAATAAAGCTCATCTTGGATGCGGATGAATCTTGATCTTGTATATGACTTGAATGTGTAATACTTCACTCCACTATTCCGCCAACCTCCATTTGATATGATTGTTATGACACAATTCCATCCAACCTCCGATGTAAATATTTGTGTAGATTACCTAAGAAAATAAATGCAAACACTCGACACACGTTGTTAGGAATTATTTGTAATTAGCAAAACAAGATTAGAGAGGAGACTCATAAACATGAGGCCAACAAAATGAGCTCATTCAGAGTCCATTTCTCCTGTTGGCAGTTATAACTAATCTTAAATTGATTAAATTGTGCATGCAGGAAGAGATAATAGAACCAGATGCACCAGTAACTCATCACATAGATCGAGTTTAAGTGTCATAAGTTTTGAAGCAATATGAGACATCTCCATGATGTACTCCCTGAAATTTTCTTTGCCCTTATACTTCATCAAAATCAAGCGAGCTAAAAGTGTGCTTGTTTCTACCATATCGTTTTAGCAAAACGTTTCTCAATTTCGGTAAGGAAATCTTTAGCTTTAGTAATCCTTTTGGATTCTATGCCCCTGAAGGCTTCCGGAACGCCATGCTTAATGATCATTAGACTCATGCGATTTGAACTCTCCCACTTATCATACTCCTTCTTTGCATTAGGAGTGCTATCCGTAGTGAGAAGTTGGGGTTGTTCAGTTCTTAATATAATGTCTAGATCCATACAGCCAAGAACAATTAGAATGTTCTCTTTCTAAACCTTGAAATTTGTCTCATTGAACATGGGAATTAAATTGATGTTTGTAGAAATTGTTGCAGCAGATGCATTAGCTGAAACAAAAGATGTTCATATTATTAACTATAATTAGTAATTAATAAAATTCAAATAATGATAAATCACTTCTCAAGATATCCAGCACAACATTAATATCAAGTCTTTGGACAGTAATATTAATTGTAAGTGATACCTTGTTGCAATGATCAAACCCTGACAATAACACATGGCAAATAATGAAAATATCTTTGGATTTATTCATTATTCACATGTAAACCTTATAAATGTCACGCGTTTATCAGCGCGGATGTGTATGTAATCTAAATAAATATTAACCTTCCTTTAGGCCGATTAAATATTTACACGAAAATATACCCACAAACATCTAACATCCCTCATGAACAATTTATACAAGATATGTTACTTTGGCAACATCTTGTTTCAATTAATTATTTAGAATGAGAGACAAACTTAATACCTTATTGTCATATTATTTGAAGTAAATAATTGATTAACTACCAATTTAATTCAAATGAAACTTCCATTCAACTATAATCGAGAGGAAATAAGTCTCAGTAGGCACTTGGTTGGCGGCGGAAAGAGGTTGAAGAAAGAATAGGCAAATCCCTGGGTTGCCCAGCCCAATTTTAATTCAAATTAAAAAAGAATTTTCACAGCTTAATAAAGAGCCCATAAGAGTTTTTTAAGCTTAAGAAAGGACCATAACTTAATGAGGCCCATAACTTAAGTAATAAGAAAAACTTCCATAACTTAATAAGACCCACAACTTAATAAATTATTTGAGCAATTCAAATAATCCATATTTTAATTAGTATTACAGACCCAAAATAAAGAACTTAAGTGGGCTTTGGCCTGCAAGCCTAGCAAAACCGACGAAGCTCGCCTTCAGCTTTTAGCCAACGAGGCTCGTCTGCAATTCCGAATTCGAGCTCGCTTGCTACTATGCCGAAGAAGCTCGCTTGAATCGAAAACTCAAGCTCGCCTAACTTGATCTTCGATCTCGCCTGCAGAGTTCCTGATGAGGCTCGCTTGAATTGATCTTCGAGCTCGCCTACAACAAGGCTCGAGCTCACTTGAA